GCGAGGTAGCGCGCGCCGCGGGACTGTTGCGCAGGCGCGGCAGGCCGGCCGTCGAGCTAGCGGTCTGTCGGGGTTCGCCATGGTCGAGGCGTCTCACCGATACAGAGGCGGTGAGAGCCGTCCCCTTGGGGAGTAGTGAGGCAGAGCCCGTTTGGCTTTCCAGATCCCAGGAAGGAGCTCGTTAGCCGCACTTCTCCACTCCTGTGAGAGAGAATGACCGCCGGCACTCTACCCCTCACTACTACCCTGGAGAAGCCAAAAGAGACAGAATCCCATTTCCCAGACGGGGAAGATGCCCGAAGACGCGGCGCTAGCGCTGTGCCCGAGGCTCCCCCGCGGCCCCTGACTACGGCGCAGTGACCGTCGCTGGGCGGGTCAGCCAGGTCCTCTCCGGACGTGGGAGTCGGGCCTGTGACCGAGCCCTCGCCGGGCCTCAGCCGCAGCAGTGTCCGACAGCAAAGCGTTAGGGACGCAGGAGAGGGTTGTTTTGTATTTTGCTCTTAAGACTGACCGATGCGGGGGATGTAGCTCAGTGGTGCCGCCGCCTGCCTCGCAAGCGCAAGGTCCTGAGTTCGATCCCCGCTACAAAAACAAAAAACAAAACCTGGTGAGGAGACATCCGTGTTATGAAGCTTGTCGGTATATGTGGCCGTAACTGCCTCCCTTATTCCTTGGGAAAATTGATTTTCTGTGGCTCATGAAAGTGAGAAAAATGGGCCGGGGATTTAGCTCAAGCGGTTCGGTGGCCTGCCTTGCAAGCGCAAGGACCCGAATTCAATTCCCAGTACCAAAAAAAAGTGAGAAAAAATACTGAAGAGCCCCGGGAGCTTTCCTTTGCACTATGTACCAAAATCGCTGTTTATATATATTATTAATTACATAATGCACAGAAACTTTTGTTTTATATCTCACAGGGCCTTCGAAACATAAGCTGCATTACAGAAAAGAAGTAGAAATTAGAACCACACTTCAGGAGTTGTTACTCTACTTAATTTTTCTAATAAACCTCTGTATATGTAAGTACACAAATATAAAAACACTGAACTAGAAGTTAAAATTAGAAATGAGAAAATAAAACGAGTTTTAAAATCATAAGCTCTCTAGTTTACGGCCGATGACACATTTTAAAACATCATTATCCAAAGACTGACACTATTTCCAGCTTTTAAAGGGTTAAAACTTAGCTGGACATAGTTTCCCATACTTGTAATCTCAGCTGCTTGAGAGGCTGAAGTGAGAGGATCATAAGTTCATTCACGGCCAGCCTCCCTGGGCAATTTAGAAAGACCCTATCTCAAAGTAAGATTCAGAAAAGCTAGGGACATAAGCAAGTATGCATGAGGCTCTGGGTTCAATTCCCAGTACCACACACAGAGGACAAAAGGTCATAGATATGATGAAAAGCTTCTCTAGTCAACATTGATTGAATATAATTATTCCTTTTGCTTGGCACATCTACTTCAAACATAATCCCTTGGGCTGGCAATTGTGGTGTGACTGAAAACCACAATGAACGTTTAAATTTTTAAAACTGTGTTATGATAAAAGACACATTGGTATTAATCCCCCTCAAAAACTCCCCCTTTCTTCGAACACTTATCCCATCATATTTAACACTTTCTGAAGCAGCTCTGTAAGTCTTCTTTTGTGAGTGTCTTTAATTACACTGTTGTGGCTGCCTCACTGTCCTGAACTGATTCAAAACATTTACTTTTCATGATCGTTTTGACCAGGGAGGAGCCCGAGGTTGCATCATGCCCGATCTGGTAATAAGACGGATAAGGACACTCTGCATTTCTGCTCAGTGGCACTCAGCAGCAGCATCCACTGTAATATTTGTGATCCTACCTCATAAAAACACAAAAGGACTTCCAGAACCGCTTCAGACAGTGGCAAGAATGATGGGGTACGCACGTTCAAAGAAAGAGGGAGTCTGTAGAAGACACTTCATGACAATTAGTCATTGATTAATAATAAATTATTACAAATTAGTCATTAATAATTAATAAAGACAATTAGTGTCTTTTACTGTAAAAAATATTTTTAAATGTAAACATGGGCCAGGGATTTAGCTCCGTGGTGTCGTACCTACCTGGCAAGCACAAGGTCCTGAGTTTTTAAAAAAGATTTTTTAACATTCACTGTATATTTTGATCACCCCTTGTAATTTTATTCTTTCAGAGCCATATAAAGTATTAGTTCAGTTTCACAAATCCATGTACAAATTCAGCCAAACATAGAAGTTGATCTTGGTGTTGCAGTTAGTAGTTATACATACTTGTGATGAATCAATGTGAGTCCTTAAGGAGGACTGAAAAAACTTCTCTAACTGCAGTCCCTCTTAACTGGGGTGTCAGTGGCAGTGATTTAATCTCTGAAAGGGCATATTAAAGAGCATTTTATCTTTATAGCACCCAGCATAAATTCACTTGCCTGATTTATCTCATGTCGGTTTATACTACACACAGGCAGTTATAAACCAGTTGTTTAATTAATTGGTGTTGCAAGAATAAATTTGAGTGAGAGCTTAAAGACAACTGTAGGGCCGGGGATTTAGCTCAGGGGTTCTGCTGCCTGCCTCACAAACTCAAAGACCTGAATTTGATCCCCGATCCCCGGTACCAAAAAAAAAAAAGACAACTTTAAACCTGGTGTGGTGACATACGCCTATAATCCCAGAATTTTGGGAGGGTCACAAGTTAGAGTCCCTCCTGGGCAACTCAGTGAGACTTTGTCTCAAAATTAAACAAAAAAACGAGCTTGGAATGTACCTCAGTGCAAAGACCAGAGTTCGATCCATAGAAAAAAATAAAAAACTATAGCCAACTTTATGAATTAAGATGTCCTAGGCTGGTTTATAAAAGCTTAGTACAAAAATAATAAGTGCTTATAGAACATTTAGAAAATTATACATAAAATATTATTTTTAAGACCTTTTTTATAGTAAGAATTGGAAACAGCCTCTCAACACTAGTATATATACAGTGGGACAGTTACAGCTATTAAAGAATGGCAGACATGTATGCCATGGGATGAGGTTGAAGATACATGGTTTGGAACAATTAAGGGCTTCTGGCAAAAAGTCATATTTCGTCTAAACTCTAAACTCACTGAATAAGAATGCCACTTAATATTTTTTAAAACTTTTACTGTATGCCAAAGCATATTTTTAAATATGCATCATCTCACCTTCCACAATGAAACCTGCATGTAAAAGATACTATCCCTGACATCAGATTCAAACCTTTAAATAGCTGCATTCAAAGTCCACAGCCTTTAAATTTTTTTTATTTTTATTAGTCCATGTTTGGAGTATACATGTTTGCAGTACATAATGATTACATTCATTCATCATGGGGATATGGTACATGTACATTACACATCTTAGTTCTTTTTATATCTCCTTCCCTTCTCACTTCCCCCTCCTTTGAAAGTCTACAACCTTAAGCGCTTATCTTACTCTAGTGCCTATTGGCAACATGGAGAAAAAGCCAATTATAGAAATAATAGACATAACTGTCCTCATTTTTGTAAAGATGAATTTTTTTTATTTGGTACCGAGGATCGAACTCAGGACCTTGTGCTTGCAAGGCAGATGGGGTACCACTGAGGTAAATCCCCAGCCCAAAATTATTTTCTTTATAATTGTATTAATAAAACCTGAAGAATCTTCTCCAGTTGAACTCTAGTGGTGAGATTACAAGAAGCATCTTCCCACTTTGGGTATTTCTCTTTTAGTTTTTTTTAAATTATGGCTTTTATAATTAGACAAAACAAAGTTGAATTTTCAAAACTGGGAACAAATTGTAACATTTTTTTATCCTGATAAACTGAGTTTTTAAACAAAAATAATTCTTCTCCTTAGTGACTTTTGGGATGGTAAATACACATATGTATTACTTTAACAAAGTTATATCATCTCTGTTTTTGGATACTTCCGTCCCTGGTGATGAAAGAACCAACTTTAAGTCTATTTGCAGCATAACTGATTTTTGGAAGGTAAGGTATACAATGTGGATTAAGTAGCCTTTTAGGTATTCCATAAACCCTTGCAATAGTAAGCAGGAAATATAAGAATGAGTAAAAATGAGTAACATTTCTTTAAGCTGTTATAATCAACATTTAGTGCTTACTGAGAATATATGTTCATAGTGTGATACTGTACTTATAATTTTTTAAAAGTATGTATTTTCAACACTCCTATGTCATTGGAAAATATGAGACTTGTTTCTTATGGAGGGTTGGGGCCTAAAGTTAGTCTCTGAAGGGGTGGGAATAGAGAGCATTTACTTAGCATTTGCAAGGCCTATTATTTGATTCCAACTTAAAGAAAGAAAAGATTAAAAAGTCAGTCCATAAATGTGTATATAAAATATATACTAGTAACAATTACTCTTAATTATGCAGAAAGGTATAATAGACATTTTGATATGTAACCTTTGTGTGTGTGTGTGTGTGTGTGTGTGTGTGTGTGTGTTACAGTAATGTATAGTCTAGAGAGAGAATACTATGTTATACTCGTGTTAGTCACTTTTCCACTGCTGGGACAAAGTACCTGACTAACACGACTTCAGGATAAAAGGTTTGTTTTGGCTGACAGTTAAGAGATTTCAGTCCATTGTTTTCCCAGATCCAAGGTAAAAGGGCAAGAAGGAAGGACAGCCAGAAGCAGAACGCAGGAAGGAAGGGGCCGGGATATGTCCCCAAAGCCACACCCCTAGGACTCACTTCCTAATAGTTCATGCAACTGTGAGCTCATCAAGGGTTAGCTGCTGATGAGGTTAGCGCGCCACAATCCACTCTCCTGTCCAGGAGTCTCTTAATCCAGTGAAGCTGACAATGAAGATTGACTGGCGCATTGCTTCAGCACTGGTACAGACTTAGTTTTGCCATTACACTTGACACAGCAAGAAACTCATGAAGAAAGATCAATGAAGGGAATAGCAATTTCAACTATCCTGTGTCACAAACATTTGGGTATAAAAGCATGAGGCAGTTAAGGGAAACTTTCAGAAGTGATGATAATGCAGCTCCATTTTATAGGATGAATAAGGGAAAGGCATTCTAGGAATAAGGAACAATGTGTGCAGTAAGTTATTCTACATGTGGAACTGCTTGGCACTGTGGGCAGATGGAAAATGAAGTGGAAAGGGCCAAACGTCAATTGGAAGAGGTCAGCATGAATGCCATGCTAGAAATTTAAAATTACCAGGGAGGCAGGAGAATGAGAGAACAAGTGTGGGATAAGGACCAAGTGATCTAAGTCACTGGTTTCAACTTGGTGAAACGTGAACGGCAGGAGAGGAAGTGACGTTCATCTTGCCTCTGTTTGCTGTGTGACCTTGAGACATATACATAGCCAATGGCAAAGATGATGAAGGGCAAAACAATGAGCTCTGGCCTTGGGATCTCTCAGAATGAGCAGTTCGGGTCAGGGCCAGCATAGCAGTCAACACACACTGAGTTGTGGAAGAAGATTGAAGGGTGGCGGTTACAGACACTTCCAAGGTGAAGTCACGATGTGTAGCTATAACCAGCTCTCATTTTTGTCCTTTTGGAGGGCAAGTTTTAATGGACTCAAATACAAGGGTTAAATGATTAAATGAGTTAATATTTGTAAAGTGCTCAGAGCAATACCTGTTACACACTGCGCCCTGGTAAGTGTTAACTACCCAGAAGACCATATCATTACCATTAATATTAATGGTTATTTGATTGATAATTTTCATACCCAACATTTCTCACGTATAATGCATAAAAACAGATTTCTTGATGTGAAAATATTCTTCTAAACATATTTCTCTTTCTATATAAAGTTTATGGAAGGACCCCTTTTGGAAGGTTTGTACTGGGATTCATGGTACAATAACCAAAAGCTGTATAATTTAAGAAACAGCAGTCGAATCCACTATGAGAACATTCTTCTTGGAGTCCCCAGAGTTCGGCAGCTAAAAGTTCGCAATAATACATGCAAGGTCCATTCATCCTTTCAGGCTCTGATGAGTGAATGTTATGGCAAGTATACTTCTGAAAATGAAGACTTGTCTGATTTTGGCATCAAAAGTGGTACTGAGTAAGTAGTGTAAAATTATACAGTAACTTTTTCTAGCAGATAACCTTTGCATCTTTTAAAAATTATAAAAATGTGTATATTTCTCAAGTAATACAGGCTGGGGCCTGGTTGCTAAGGTAACTGTTTCAACAACAGTATCAAAGGAAGATTTGGAGATAGCAATGCTTATTAAAGGAAGAACAAAAACTATTTGGGTTTTGGGAGGTCTTGTTTTTGTTTTTTGCTTACCTGAGAGTGCAAAGTATTTTGTTGTTCTTTTTAATAAGAAATCCTTAGTCACAGTGAATGCAGGGAAAACATCATTGTTTGCTTCTGCAAGAGTCAGCTTTTCCCTGGCCACTCTCCCCAAAAACAAACTTTGCGAGATCCTTAGGAGAGTCTTTGGTGTGTTCTGTACTTCCCTCCTCCTCCATCCTGGCTTACTGCAGTGCTATCTTTTGTGGCTGCTGGTACAAAAGATGATCAGGGTGCTTTGCAGACATTGTCTGAATATGGCTGCCAAACATACTATGGCCATTGTTTCCCATAGTGACTGAGGCCAGAGCTGGTACACATTCATGTCTTTGATTTACATTGGAAATGTGAAAGCCCAAAGTCCTGGCACCACCTGCATGGACACAGAGGCTGCTGGTATCAGTGTTGTTTGTACTTTGTGCTTTTATAATCCTATGAAAATCATAGCAAGGAGAGACTAAACCTTTTTTGTATGTAGTATTTATGAAAAAGTGATACAAATGTTTACAAAGATCTACCCTTTCCTACCAATAATGCCCATTTTCTAGAAATAGCTACTCTGCTTCCTGCCTCTAAACTCATACTTGTTCTGCTAATACTTGATTTTATAATTTATGTATCTATTGTTTTTATATTGCATATATCCATTCCACCATGGAAGATAATCTGTCATGTAGCTCTTATGCCAACTCCCTGTTCCTCTTAGCCTTTCAATATAATTACTCTGATTACTATTATCAATTTATATTATAAAAAGTTCAATTCTATTTTCTTTCTCAAACAACCTCCCCTAACTTCCCAGTATTAATAATTGCTTTGTGGTTTTGACTGACTTATTTTCTAATCTGTATGAGTTTTGGACATTCTTGAGGCTTGCCTAATTCTAATCCAATAAATTCATAAGTATGATGACACATTCTCATAAATATTATGATAATATTAACTCTCTTGAAATATAAAATTATAGGATAAATCAATTATTTAATTCACATTTTAAGTTGGAGTCTCAAGACCGATATTTTATTTCAATATTCTAAATTCTGATAACTATACTTTATATATTAAAATTGACACTATGGATTAGGTTTACTTTACCATCTATATAATTTATTTAAATTGTGAGTTAGTACCTGTCATTCTTCCACACCAAAATGAGAAACAACCTGCACTTGTTAATGTAATCTAAAACATAAAGTTCATTAATTAAAAACATTAGCTGTTAAAAACTGGAAGCCAGGAGAGAGTGGATTTAATAAATCTTCCTGTTTATCGGTCACATGCAGAAAACACTCAGAAGCACAACAATGAAACTTTTGCTAAAGTATAAATAGGGGTGTGCCATGCCTGTAATACCAGATACTCTGGAGGCTGAGACAGGAGGATTGAAAGTTCAAGGCTACTTAGTGCGATTGTGACTCAAAATGAAATCTAAACGGAAATAGAGGACAGGGAATGATGGTGTGTGTGTGAAAATGATCAAAGTATGTTATGTGCATATACAAATCTGCGAAAATGAAACCTACTAATCCTGTTTCCTGTCCACCATGCCCTGTGCAGCTCTGCTCTACCATGCCCCTCTGCCGCTTTCTCCCTCGAAGCCAGGTGACTCTGAACCGAAATATGAGCTAAAATAAACCTCTCTTCCTTTAAATTGTGGGTGCCAGGTGTTTTAGGCCAGCAGTGAGGGAAGTCACTAAGACAGTTCCCCAGGACAGACCACAGGCTAAGCCATACAGCTCGGCCCAGCACCTCCAAAAGGACCAAAACAATACAAGATGGCTCTTCGGTCACAATGGAGTTAGTTAACTTAGAAATCAGTAGCAGAAGAAAACTTGGGAAATCCACAAATAGGTGGAAATTAAAGAAGACTCCTAAAGAACCACTGGATCAAAAGGAAAATCACCAGGGCAATTAGAAACTGCTTTAAAATCCACAGAAATGAAACAACTCAAACACTTTGGTGTGCAGTAAACAGTGTTCATGGGAGCTTTATTCCTGCACGTGTCCATGTCATGAAAGAACATTCCAATTTGATAAAACAAACTTCTCCTTTGAGAAGCAGAAAAAGAGCAAACTAAAGCTAAAATAGGCAGAAGGAAATAATGAACATTAGTACAAAAATAAGTAAAATAAAAAAATAGAAAAGCCAGCAAAACCTAAAATATGTTCTTTGAAAAGATCAACAAAATTGACAAACGTTTAGGCCAAGAAAAAGAAGACTCACAGTAATCAGGAGGGAAATGAGAGAGGGGCTGTCACTACCCAGTAGAAGGGAGTCAGAGAGGTGGCAGGAAAGGCCGCTAATAATTGCACACCAACAAATCAGACACAAAATGGACGAACTCCCATCCCAGAAAGACATGAATCTCTAAAACTGGATGAAGATGAAAATATTAACTAGAACAAAAAGATACCAAAGTAGTCCTTTAAAAACGCCCACAAAGGGCCCAGGGAGGTAGCTCAGCAGCACAGCGCCTGCCTGGCAAACATGAGATCCTGAGTTCGATCTCCAATACCAAAAAAAACCACCCCACAAAGAATTCCCAGGCCCAGCAGGCTTCACTAGTGAATTTCTCCATACATTCAAAAAAGTGATAGAGGGCCAGGGTTTAGCTCAGTGGTGCCACCACCTGCCTCACAAGAACAAAGACTTGAGTTTGATCCCCGGTACCAAAAACCAAAATAAAACAAAAAAGCGATACCAATTCTTCACAAACTTCCAAAACATACAACCGTAGAAGATGGTTCAGTTTTTTCTAAGAGGCCAGCATTACCCTGATGCCAAAATGAAAAATTATAAGAAAACTGCTGGCCAGTATCTCTTCTGACTATAGACACATATACTCTCAGCTAAAGAGCAAACCAAGTCCATTAACACTAAGAAAAAATCAGATGCCGTGACATGATAGGAGGGTTATTCCAGGAATGCAATGTTGGTTTTGTACTCCAAATTGATTAATGTATGAACCATACGAAGAGAAAAAATATAAAAATGTTTTTATCTATTATAATTAATATATACTAATCAAAAAAGATGTGGAAAAAGAAATTTAAAAGATCTGGGTCTGGGTCTCAGTGTTAGAGTGGTTGCCTGGCATACTTTAGACCCTCAGTTCAATCCCTGGTAATGTAATTATAACAGTCATCACAATTACAATACTTATAAGTATTTTTTCCTAGTGGTTTCAGTACCCACTCTCCCTACCCTGATAAAAACATAGTATTAATAGAAAAAAAGTTTAAGCAATAATCTTTGGGCACCCTTTCAAATATATATTGGGGAATTGAATCAGGAGACTAAAATTAAGAATCAAAGCGTTCTTGTAATTACCTCAAAATTAAAAGTAAAAGGAGCCAGGTGTGGTGGTGCACACCTATAATCCTAGCATCCAGGAAGCTGAGGCAGGAGGATCACTGTGAGTTTGAGACCAGCCTGGGCTACAGAGTGAGTTCCAGGTCAGTCTCAACAACATAGTGAGAACGTGCCTCAAAAAAAAGGTAAAAGGAATGAGAAAAAAAATTATATATATTTTACTTTTATTTATGTACTTTAGTTAAACTAGCTACATAAAATGCAGACATTGTAACAAAGTTTATAATGATACATGACTTTACAAAACAATAAAGCACTTTACCCTCATTCTGAGATATTTGTGAATCAAAACTCCTGATATTCTTGCCCCACTCAAAAACTAAATACAAGACCAAAGAGACAATATGTTAAAGAAAAAAAACTCATAATTTCTAGATTCCCACTTTTCTTGTATCACTTTGTCCAGTGTGTTACCCAAAATAAGCCCTAAAAATAAAAAATACTGCCTTAGTCCTTTTAACTTAATCTTTAATCCATTATCTTGCTTCAAAATTACCATAATACTTATGAACTTGCTAGTAAAACTTTTTTAAAACTATGACATTGGAACTAAAGTTTAGTTTAAATTCTTTGACTACTTTTCAACTAGGCTTTCACATCTCTTCTCCATAACTTCTTTAATTCTAACAGATGGAAGCACACTCTACTTCTAACACCAACTCGCCTTGGCACTGGGGATTCGTTGGTGTTTACCAAAATGGGGGATATATTTTCACCTTATCAAAATCAAAATCTGAAACCAAAAACAAGTTCACTGACCTTCGACTGAACAGCTGGATCACAAGAGGGACCAGGGTTATATTTATTGACTTTTCATTATACAATGCTAATGTAAATCTGTTTTGCATCGTTAGGTAAGTGACTCAAAACTTCTGTATTAGTATACTGAATCTAAAACTCATCCAGAGACCTCACTGAGGTTTCCATTTTGTGCGTGGCTGTGCTGATATCAAAATCATAAAATTTAAAATAAATATAATGTAGCTCTTAAAATGATATCATGTAGTTCTGTCAACAATGAAAAAGGGGCTGGGGATGGAGCTCAGTGGTATAGCACTTGCCTACCACGCACAGATCCTGGGTTCAATCTCCAGTATCACAAATAATAACGATGATGATGAAAAAAAAGGTACAGCAACATCACATTCATTGTTTAATAAATTCAGAATATATTTAGGAACACAGAATTACAGTGTTAACTTTATATTGCTTAGTCTCTCTTTTTTTTTTTTATGGTACTGAGGATTGAACCCAGGATTTTCACACTGAGCTGTGTCCTCAGCCCTTTTTATTTTTTATTTTGAAACATACTCATTCTAAATTGCCACCTATGCTGGGCTCAAGCTTGTGATCGTCCTGCTTCAATATCCCAGAGTGCTTGGATTACAAGTGTGCACTGCTGTTCTCGGTCTAACAGTTCTTTTATTTTTTTTATTCCAGTATCAATAAATCTTTAGGTAGGAAGAACTGCATTGTAAAATTGCAATAGAAATGCTGGTTCCTTAAATTATCACCAATTCTTAAATATCTCACATTATGGAGAACACCAGAAATACAGTGAACTTCAAAACCTTGTTATATTTAGTGTTGGAATTATTTTTTATACTTTTTTTTTCTTTTTTATTGAGGTTATTGGTACAATCTAGGTATACAAATACAGTTACATTCATCATTGGGATTCTGTACCTTTACATAATAGGTCTTGATTCTCATTTTTTCCTCTTGTCCCTGCCCTCCCTTCACCCCCTCCTCCCCTCCCCATTTACAAACACTTTATTTCCA